AGTAATTTATATTACACTAGAAAAGAATTCCTTTTTCATATATTAATTTAAATTGTAATCAACTAATGTGGCTATTCAAATTTTTCAATCCTATTTAAACATTTAGGCCCACAAAGGAAGATGAATAACAGAATAAAATATACACCACAGTGTGCTCCAAAACATGAGAAAAATTAGAAACAAAAATTAGAAACCATCATATAAAAATGCAAACCCTAGTATTTCCATATCACAGAGACTATAAATGGAGATCACACCATGACTTAATAATTTATTCTTCTTTGAAGAGTAATCTTTTTGTTTTCAAATTATTCATTGGCTTAAGTTGCTATCATATTTCTACCTACTTTATCACATCTTTCCCAAACACAAATATTATCAAAGCCAGGTGCTGCTTAAAAGTCTATTCTTCTATTTTTCCCCTCCATTTGTAAATAGATATCTGCAGCTTTCAATTAGAAAAGATTACTAATTTTGAGTCTATTAAGACAGAACAAGAGTTGTAACTATGAGACCTGTTCCCATGCTACAGAAAACTTAAGACATCACAATGTACTCAGAAAAAGGAGAAAGAGATATATCTTCCTTCTTGCCTCTCCTCCTTATCTCTTTTCTTTCCCATTCTTTCCTACCTTTCCTTTCCTCCTTCTAGGTATCTTCCTTACATATCTCCTCCCTTTTTTCACCCCTACTTCTCCTTTTTTTTGACCTCTCTTCCCATCCTCGTTTCACTCATACTAGGCATTAAACTCAAGGTCTTGAGGATATTAGATAAGCACTCATTTGAGCTGTATCCCATCCCTCAAATCTCAACCCTTTTGTTTGTATTTTGGTCTTAAGATAGATTTAGTTTATATTGCCAAGACTGGCCTCCAACTTGCAATCCTCTTGCCTCTACCTGTCCAGTAGCTGGGACCAGGGGCATTCACTGCCATACAAGTCTGAAGCGCTTAATTTGAATATAAGTAATTACTCCTGAGACCTAATTACCAAAACCTTGTCAGTAAGAATTTCTTATCCAAAATTCTGGGAATCAAATATTTTGATTTTGGAAAATTTTAATAAATATAATACCATGGGGATGGAATCCACATTTAAACATAAAATTTATTATGTTTTACACATGATACATACAGCCTGAAGGCAATTTTATGCTACATCTTTAGTGTGTCTATATTCTAACTATACTCCATCACATGAAGCCATGGATGCAATTTTCTATTTGGTATCATGTCAACACTCAAAATTTTGGATGGTGGATTTCAAATTCAGATTTTTAGGTGAGGGATACTGATAAATGAAGGATAAATGAATGCACATATCATTTTAATCTGAATAAACAACAGCATAGTTTTAGGAAATTGTTAAAGAACTAAAGCTACTGGGACAAATCTCTAAGTTCTAAATATCTTAAGATTAAAATAATTACATTAAAATATAAATTCTCTTTACATTTCTTCTTGTTCTTTTTTTTTGGGGGGGTCTATTATGGGGCTTGAACTCAGAGCCTGGACACTGTCTCTGAGCCTCTTTGTGCTCAAAGCTAGCACTCTACCACTTGAGCCACAGTGCCACTTCTGGTTTTTGAGCGGCTACTTGGAGCTAAAAGTCTCACAGGGGAGATGGGCTTTGAACTGCGATCCTCAGATCTCAGCCTCCTGAGTAGCTAGGATTATAAGCATGAGCCACAGGAGCCCAGCTCACATTTCATGTGTTTAAAAGAAAAAAGGGACAGTAAGCTTATGTATAGTTTATAAGAACATTTTTAAAAAAGAACTTAGTAGTCGGGTGCTGGTGGCTCATGCCTGTAATCCTAGCTTCTCAGGAGGCTGAGATCTGAGGATCATGGTTCAAAGCCAGCCCAGGCAGGAAAAGTCCATGAGATTCTTATCTCCAATAAACCACTCAGAAAACCGGGGTGCAGTGGCTCAAGTGGTAGAGTACTAGCCTTGAGCTTAAGAGCTGAGGAACAGCCCCCAGGCCCAGAGTTCAAGCACCACGACTGACAAAAAAAAATTTTTTAAAGGACTTAGTAAAACAACTTTCCAGACTTTGTATCTGCAGGCTTATACCTCTCCCTATGTAAGACAGGAGCAAGGAAGAGACAGGTTAGAATAATCTCCACTGAAAATGAATTCTCCAAATTAATGTAAATTAAATATTTTTTTATTTTTATGTAAATGGGAGGCATATTATTGTATAAATTAACACTGTGACTTATTAAAATTTTAATCATATATATAATATTTTGGCAGTTTAAATTGTGATTAACGGTTCGAAAATGAATTAATATCTTAAAATATGCATTAAATGTTTATTTCCAGTCACAAGTGATCAGGGAGATCATAAAAGGTATTCAGTTGGCTTTCCCTATCTGTGGTGAGTTCTATGAATTAATAATAGGCAGAAAAAGATTGTGTTGGCAATGAACATGTACAAATTTTTATCTCTTATTATTCCTAAGCAACGAAGTATAACAACTATCTATACATCATTTATATCACACTAAGTATTATAAGTGCAAGGATGATGAGGTAAAAGGAGGATATATGAAAGGTATACTCAAATATTAGATCGTTCTATACAAAGGACTTAAGTATACTCAGAATATCTGAAACAATCCTCTATGGATAACGCAGGTAGATTGTATGATATGATAAAACTGGATATGCCAGTTTTACCAGAAGCATCTATCAGATTCACTGTCTTAGAACGTCTTGAAAAAAAATCACCCGATATAATCTAAACCAATTATGCAGTTGAAAATGATTTGAAGATCTACAGATTAAGTATATGAAACTCTCCAAAATACCGTACTGGTATTAAATCAGTTATGTCAAACATTACATACAGAACCACACGACATAGACACACACTGTACTGTACCATCATTTGGATTTACTGCAACAATGTCATGGATTTTGGAAACTTCAGGCGTGAACATCTTTCCCAAACTTTAAAATGCCTTCTTCAAAAACCCACAACCCGAAGAGGCGGCACAAAACTCTATTTCTCCAAGTAGTTTGAATGATCTGAAAACTAATATTAACCAAATGGTTCATGACACTACCTCCCACAGACAAGACCCGACTAAAATCGAGTCGTGTTCACCAACTCCGAATTTTTTCCACTCACAAAAATTACGTTCACCTATTTAGAAATAAAAGATAATGCCACATACACCACACCCTCTTCTTTCCACCTTTCGCGGCTTCAGCAACGTAACTACCACTAAGTATCTTGCCTCAAGCAATCAACTAGGAAAATGCGCGTGAGATGAAGCAGCACTAAACTCCCAGGACGCAGAGCTTTTATTATCTGCAGAGAAATAAAGTGAGACCAAACACAATCACAAGAAAGTCTGGGAGGAGTGCATGAAGAGCGTGACCAAATTGCTGCACTCAACCAAAGCACATAGATGCGATTACTGCGCGAGGATTCCCAAACCTGAATCCGTTTAAAGGGCAGCGCTCACCCTTCGAGTTGACCTGAACGGGACAAGCTCCACAGTCCTAAAAAGAGCAAGACGTGAGGTCCGAGCGTGGGCCGCTGCTGCAGATCTGGGTGAGCTGCGCAAGCAGAGCTCATCACCCCGGCGGAACCCAAGTGACCGGGGGGAACAACAAGTCAGGCCTCTGAGCCGGCCCCAGCTGCGCTCTGCCTCACAGACACCCATACCCACTGACCTGACGCTTACCTCCTCCCCAGACTCCCGCCTCCAGTGCGGCCCAGAGGCCCCGCTGTCCCGGCTGCGCGGCGTCCCCGCGCCCGGCCCGGGAGGACGGGGAAGGGAAGGCGAAAGCGCACGCGCGGCTCCCGGGAACCGGTCCTCGGCCAGCGAAGGGAACCAGGGAGACGAACGTGAAGCGGAAGCCGCCGGCCTCTACGCCAGAATCGAAAAGCCCCGGGCAGGGGAAAGAGACAAAATGAGGAGTCCCGAGAGTCCGAAAAAGCAACGAAAGCACTGCCAGGCCGCTAGAAGGATCGACTCCAAATGCCGCCGGAAGTCAGGGGTTTACCCCAGTCCTCTGCAGCCCTAGCTTCCGGCCGCCAGATTAGTCGTCAGCGAACAGGCACCGCCCCTTTCCTGGACACGCCCCCTTGGGCATTTTATGGACTGCGCGGTGTTGCTTTTCCCGGAAGTGGAAATCCTCGACTAGTGGGCGAGTAGGGGAGGTCCCGGGAGGGCTAGCCTGGCGCCCGCAAAGCCGAAGGTCCCAGTTCAGGTGACTCTACGAAGGTGAGCAGGGGGGCTCACTCCTGTTCATGCTGGATGCTCTCTTCCTGAGGTTGACTTCTGAGGGTCAGCCCAGGCCGGAGAGTCCGTGAGATCCTCATCCAGTTAACCGCCCGGAGGCCGGACGTGGAGCCGGGACCCCGGTGGTACAATGCCAGCCCGGGGACGGAGACAGGCTCGAGTTCAAGCCCCGGGATCGGCACAGAAAGGGGCGTAGGGGGAAGAGCTTCCCCTTCCTACAGTGAACCACTGCCTAAAGGGTCGCATTTGCTATTGGGAGGTAACCGGAGCCATTCAGCGTGGGTTACTGAGTGACAAGCAGGGGTTTGCTCGGAGTTTGGCCCAGTTTGAAAATCTGTTGACAGAAATGGATCGAAAGTTTGCAGTCGAAAAATTTAATGTACTTCAGTTCACTTTCCTTATGCTGGGAACTGGGAACTTCATGAAACTAAGTATTAGAATTGCTTCAGCTGGTTAATCAGACATCGCAAATCCAGAGAAAGCCGGTACTTGTCCTCTTACAATTTTTTTTTTTTTTTTTTGGTCCGGTCGTGGAGCCTGAACTCTGGGCCTGGGCGCTGTCCTTCAGCTCTTCAGCTCAAGGCTAGTGCTCTACCACTTGAGCTACAGCACCACTTCTGGCTTTTTTCTTTTTGCTTATGTGGTGCTGAGGAATCGAACCCAGGGCCTCATGCATGCAAGGCAAGCGCTTTACCACTGAGCCAACTTCCCAGCCCTCTCTTACAATTTTTTAAAGCAAAAATAACACATGATACCTTATTTCCCTTAATTTAAAAAATAGCATAGGTCTTGATCTCTGATAAATCCAAGGAATAAGAAATCCTTTTCTTAACAAAACAACCGATCAAACTTTAAAAGGCAAAAAAATTAGTACCATGACTTGACCTTATTGGAATCAGGAAATTAATCATATGGGAGCAAAGTGGAACATCCAGGATATTAAACATTCGTGATGACATGCCATGCTATTTTAGAGACAGCTGCCAGAGCTTCTATACAAGTAGGTTTGATGAAACGTTCTGGCAGCAAGAACCCGTATCTGCCTTTATCTCGAAGTTCAATTGTAAATGAGTATTTAATGCCCAAATCATAGATCCAGTCATCAGAACCGCCAGGAGCTAAGTCTAAAAACAGAAGAAAAAGAAGGGAGAAGAAGAAGAAATGTTACTTTTTGTGAAATGAACAACATGGGATTTTTTTTTTGTAAAACTAAAAAGAGCTTTCTTTTGATTGTTAAGTAATGTATTGCTTGTCTGAGAATTGTGGAGATTTGAAAAAAACAGGTTAAAGAAGTAAAACAAAAAACTACCTATAAACTTCACATAGTTTTACCACGAAGTGATAAACTATAACTGTTGTAGCATTGTTTTCAGTGCTTTTATTTTGATTACTTAATGTTTTTACTAAATAAAGTCATACAACACATGGTGTTTTATAACATTTTAAAATGTAATTATTGTAACATTTCCAAAGATAGTACTACTGAGTTCCACTCCACATAATTTTCAATGATCTCACAGCATTGCATTATAAAGCAATATGTAATTTATTTAATAATTATTTCTTTGGATACTTTTGATTTTTTCCGTTTTTAGTTCATATAAATAACTTACAATGAGCAGCCTACTAATATAAATAACTTACAATAAGCAGCCTAGTTCATACACAATTATTTGTTTTTTAGAATGAGCACTCTTGTTGATGAATAATTATATTTAAAGGAAGAAATATTAGTATTTCTACACAGGGTCCTGTGCTTGCTAGGCAAGCATTCTACCATTTGAACCATACGCAGAGCCCAACTTTTCTAAAAGATTTGCTTAAGAGTATTCACAGTAAATATGTTCCCAAATAAAGTTCAAAATAATTGAACCAATTTATACCTTCACTCACAAGTATGCCCACTTCCCCCTCCAATGGTAAGCATGTTTTCTGAAATTTTTATGGGTGAGAAAATATCTACTTGCCTTAATTTATATTTCCTTGATTATCAGCAAGTTGGACATTTTTGTTTCATCTATTAGTTACCCAGCTTTATAGTTCTATCAATTATCCTCCTTTGTTTTTTTCCCCAGGCTTGGTGCTTGAATTCAGGGCCTGAGTACTTTCCCTGAGCTTCTTTGTGCTCAAGGCTAGTAGTGCTCTGCCACTTTGAGCCACAGTGCCATTTCTTGTTTTCCGGTGGTTAATTGGAGATCAAGTCTCATGACTTATTGCCCAGGCTGGCTTCTAACTGTGATCCTCAGATCTCAGCCTCCTGAGTGGCTAGGATTACAGGAGTGAGCCACCAGCCCAGGCTAAACATGGTTCATTTTGCAAATTATTTATAAAATGACAGCAATAAAAACATTAATGTTATTAGCATGTTCAATATGTGAAGAATTTTTTCTTCAGTTATTTATAGCAGAATTTTTTAGGTTTATTTTTATTATCTTTAAGTAATTGTACAGAAGAGTTGCCATTCAATAAAGCAGTTTATGAAAAACAGACATAAAAAGAAATATAAAAATATTTAAAATAATGATTTAAATATTTAATTTGATCTTTCTAGATTTATTTTGATGAAAGATTTGATAGAAATTCAATTTTTTTTAGTAACTTGTCAGATTTGCAACCCTGTGAATTGAATAACATTCTTAACTAATTTGAAAGACTTCCTTATGAATGTCAGGTCTTATATACTTAAGTGTCTTTCTGTGTTATATGTATGTATGGATGGATGGATGGATATGTATTTGACACAGGGTCTTGCTTTGGAGCTCAGTAGTGAGTCTGGAACTCACTGTGTAGCACATATTGGCCTCAAACTCATAATCATCTTGCCTTGACCTCCCAAGTCCTGGGATTACAGGCATGCATCACCATGTCCAACCTCATTATTCTCTTGTATTGATTGTCCCTTCCTTGCTCAATTCCACACAGTCCTAATTACCATAGCTTCATTGTGCCTGAATATCTCAATGGGAAACAAATTTCTCAGTAGACTTATTTTCAGTATCTTACAAGCTCTCCTGCCAGCTTTATTCTTTTAAATGAACTTCAGAATCATTTAAGTGTTCACTGGAATTGTATTCAATGTACAAATTCATTTAAGAAATTCTTTGTATTTTTCTTCCACCTAGACACATAAAGCCTTCTGGGTTTTTTTTATTGATTCTGTATATGCACACAGACAAACATATACACTTAACAATGAATCCAGTAGATATTATGTTTGTATGTGCATGTGTATATATATATATGTGTGTGTGTGTGTGTGTGTGTGTGTGTGTGTGTGTTTATACATGTATGTAATGGAAGGCCATGAGACCTTTTTCTGTTTTTTTTCTACCTGATTATTTTTAATAAAGAAGAAAGTTCTAGAGTTGTGTTTATTTAGCTCATAGTCAGCCCCCATAATTAATGATTTCATGGTTACTAACACTTTTGGTTTCCTAAGTAAATAATTATATAGCATGTAAAGAATGACCAGGTTTATGTATGTATACTTGAGTTAATTGTGAGATTGTTTACTGAGGCAATGTTTATATTAAAAAATGCTCATTAATAGCAGACTGAACCATTCACTCATTCAATAAATATCTCTGGTAATCATGATCAACATCTGGTATTGATTCCTCTAGACTTTTCCTGTGCTTACACATAAATACATATAGATATGTCCTAGATGAATGGGTAGAGATGGACTGAAAGCATCTTAATAAGAGGATGCTCTATAATTGGATCCCTTCCAGAGGTACTGTAGCTAATGCTTTGGGGGGTAATAATAGGGGAGATGGGACATGGGAAAGCTCTGAATTGTAAAGGTTAGTTGTGGGGTTCTTCAGTCACAAGGTGAGACCTGTGATAGCAGAGACAGCAGAAAATGAAGTGACACCAAGGAAAAGAGGTACAATGTGGCTAATTCGGTGGACAATGGGATGGTTATGGAGAAAGGCAGAAGTGGACTTCCTGCTAATAGGGTATTGGTGCTCAAACAATTTATTGAGGTCAATATAATACTATTTGTATACCCTTGTAGATCATACTTCTTACAGGAAACTCTGGGATTTTGGAGATACTGTCTCAAAGCCTTTTCTCATCCCTTAATATATTATACCTTTATTTGGCAGCTGCTAACCAAGTGGTTCCCCCCAAAATGTGACCTTACCCTGAATAGTAAAAACAATCCTTAGCAGAAAGAGCAGTGCTGGAGGAATATTAAAACTAAACTTCAAACTCTACTACAAGGCCATAGTAATAACAAAAGGGGGGAGAGGTAATGGCACAAGAACAGACCTGAGGACCAAGGGAATAGAACTGAAGATCTCAGAAATGAACCCGCAGACCTGTAGCCCTACCTAATCTTTGATAAGGGAGCAAAAAAAAAAATAGAAGGAAGACAGCCTCTTCAATAAACAATGTTGGCAAAATTGGTTAAACACCTGTAGAAAAATAAAGCTAGATCCTTATATATCACCCTGCACCAGAATCAACTCCAAATGGATCAAAGAGCTTGAAGCAGACACCCTGAAAATATTAGAGAAAGAAATAGGAGAAACTCTAGGGCTCCTCAGGTTGCAATTTTCTTAATAGAGACCCAGAAAAACAACAAATCAAAGAAAGGTTGGACAAATGGGATTGCATTAAACTGCAGAGTTTCTGCATAGCAAAGGACATAGCTAGCAAGATCAATACAAAGTCCACGGATTGGGAGAAGATCTTCACTAGCCATACAACAGACAATGGCCTCATATCTAAAATATACTTAGAACTCAAAAACATTAAATTCTCCAAAAAAATCCTCAAGGAAACAACGGCCTACGGGCAGTTTGTTTTTTTGGAGAATTAATTTTTTTGAGTTCTAAATGTGTGTGTGTGTGTGTGTGTGTGTGTGTGTGTATGTACAGATATATATAGATTTCTATGCTTCCATCAGAAAGAATGACACCGCCTCATTTGTTAGGAAATGTAAAGATGGAAAAAATTATATTAAGTGAAGTAAGCCAGACCCAAAGAAATATAGATCCCATTGTTTATGTAATTTGCAACAATTAGTATATGTCTAGGATAATTTTATCAGATGAGCAGAAAAGCTCAAAAGCTATGTACATATGACCATATAGATGATGCTAAGCAAAATGAATCCCAAGATATGGATTCAAGAGGTCTTTCTTTATTGTTATTGTTTTGAATGTCCTATGTGATTTTTTTTTTTTTTTGTCGGTCGTGGGGCTTAAACTCTGGGCCTGGGCTCTGTCCCTCAGCTCTTCAGCTCAAGACGAGCGCTCTACCACTTGAGCTACAGTGCCACTTCCGGTTTTCTGGTGGTTTATTGGAGATAGGAGTCTCACAGTCTTTCCTGCCCGGGCTGGCTTTGAACCACGATCCTCAGATCTCAGCCTCCTGAATAGCTAGGATTACAGGCGTGAGCCACCAGCGCCCGGCTTGCCTATGTGATTTTTTTGTTTCCTTTATATGTTCTTCTCCCTATGATATATCCCTTATTGTCACTGTATTTGATTTTTGTGCCCTGCATCTTTTTTTTTCTTTTTTCTTTTTTCTTTTTGGTCCAGTCGTGGAGCCTGAACTCTGGGCCTGGGCACTGTCCCTCAGCTCTTCAGCTCAAGGCTAGCGCTCTACCACTTGAGCCACAGCGCCGCTTCTGGCTTTTTTCTTTTTGCTTATGTGGTGCTGAGGAATCGAACCCAGGGCCTCAGGCATGCAAGGCAAATGCTCTACCACTGAGCCACCTTCCCAGCCCCATTTTTATTTTTATTTTTTTTTTGCCAATCTTGGGGCTTGAACTCAGGGCTTGAGTTCCCTGAGCTTCTTTTGCTCAAGGCTACCACTTTACCACTTGAGCCACAGGCACACCTTGAGGCTTTTCTGTTTATATGGTACTGAGGAATGGAACCCAGGGCTTCATGCATGCTAGGCAAGCGCAATACCACTGAGCTACATTTCCAGCCCCCTGCATCTTGTATATACACATTTATCTAATTTGTGAAGGGGAAGGAGAATAACAAAATGCTGAAACAAGGACACAGGATGACCCATTGCAACAATGATACTCACAAGACACTATGTTGGAAATGAACTTTACAACTGGCCGGGTGGGGGGTCGAAGGGGGGAGGGGGGAAAATGGGGAAAGAAGAGGAGGGAAGGGATAGTAAGAGAAAAACAAAGGAGGGAGTAACAACACTTGACAAGAAATATACTCATTACTATTGTAACTGTAACCCCTCTGTACAGCATCTTTACAATAAAATAAAAATTTTAAAACATGTGACCACACAAATAGACTTTTCCCAAACCACTTTAGTTAAATACTTTCTCTTAAATGTAATTATTCTCAAACCTATCAGTCTATTTCATTTTCTTTAAAGCACTTGATGAAATCATACTATATTTGTTTCCATCAGAAGTTGGCAAACTGTCTGGAATGGACAGGGTAGTATATATTTTAGGTTTTGTGAACCATATGGTCTCTGATAACATGACTTGACTCTGCTATCAGGAAAACTAGTCTCTGATAACATGACTTGACTCTGCTATCAGGAAAACTATTATACAAAATATTTAAGTGAAAGAGCATGGCTGTATTCCAATAAAATGTAATTTATGTAAATAAATACAAATTTCTTATCAGTTTTCATGTGTCAAAATTTTAACTCTTGCTTTTTTTTTTCTACCACTGAAGTTATGGGAAACCATTCTCGGTGCAAGCCATTCTTAGCAGTAGGTTGAATTTGGCTTATGATTTGCTGGCAGCTGGCTGCATGTTTATTTTCGGTTCCACTTATCCCATCTGCTCTTCAGCTTCATAAGAAAAAAATCATGTGCTAGACATGAAGGCTCAAACTTGTAATCCCTGCTATTCAAAAGGCAGGGATGAGGAGGATCATAGTTCCAAGGCCAACCAATGCAAAAAGTTAGCAAGTGGTGGTACATATTTCATATCTCAGCTATATTGGAATTACAAACAGGAGGATCACGATAAAGGTCAGTCTAGGCATAACTGTGAAATACTATAGGAAAAATAATGATAGCAAAAAGGTATGGGGGTCATTGCTTAAGTGGTTTTAAAAAAAAAAGTGTAATTCCCTGAGCTCAAAACCAAGTACTGCCAAAAAAATAAAAAGGCTGGGCTAGGAAGGTGGCTCAGTAATAAGAGTGCTTGCCTCCCATGCATGAGGCCCTGGGTTCAATTCCTCAGCACCACATAAGCAAAAAGAAAAAAGCCGGAAGTGTTGCTGTGGCTCAAGTGGTAGAGTGCTAGCCTTGAGCTGAATATCTGAGGGACAGCGCCCAGGTCCAGAGTTCAAGCCTCATGACTGAAAAAAAGCTAAATCATTATCTGTTATCCCATTATGGAGTCTTTCAATAAACATCTTCCAGCAGAAATTAATTTTAAAAATTGCCATATACAAGCTCTAATCAGTGTGATATACACAAAAGACATCCAACTGCAATGTGTTTTAAGCTATACTGTAGACAATAGGATATTACACAAAAGCATCAAAGATAAATGGCAAGACCTATATTGGTGTAATGTACAGCATGCACCTTTACATGATGACCCTCAACATCTTAAATACTCTTTTAACCCTATATGACCTTTCTCCTTTGCAAGCATGGTTTCAATTCTATTCTCTATAGTGAGGAGCTAAGTTTTTCAGTTTTTTAGTTTTCTTTAGTGTACAGCTTCATTAGTACAGCTTTTTTTCAGAACTGTCACAGCTATTATGCTTTGTGTTTCTGATTTTTATAATGCAATTATTTTACCTATGACTTTGTTTAAGAATAATTGGGATCTAGTGGCTCATGCCTATAATCCTAGCTATTCAGGAGGCTGAGATCTGAGGATTGCCATTCAAAGCCAGCTCAGACAGGAAAGTCCTGGAAACTTATCTGATCAGCCACCAAAAAGCCAGAAATGGATCTATGACTTAAGGGTAGAATGTTAACCTTGAGTAAAAAAGCTAAAGGACAGCACCTAGGCCATATGTTCAAGCCCCAGGCACAAGAAAAGAAAAAAAGAGGAAATGTTATAGCTACACAGAAAATTTGAATAGAGATTTCTTTAGTACATCACAGTTTTTCAAAATCTCAAGAAGAAATTCTGGACTTGGGCTGTAGCTCAGGATTAGTCAACTTTCCTAGATGCCCAGGGCTCTGGCTTCAATTCTCAGCAAAAGAAGAGGAAGAGAAAGGAAAGATGGAAAAAGGAGGAGGAGGAAAAGAAGAAGAAAACGAAGGAAGAACAAGAGAAGATTAAGAAGAAAGAAGGAAGAGAGGAGAAGGAGGGAAAAAAATACTCACATAAAGTCTCTGCACCCCTGCCGTGTGTATACTTGATATTTTTATTAATAGTCTCAATAGCACGAACTGCTTCACTGGCCACTAGAGACTGGAAGCAATAGCATGTGAAATTTTGGTTAGTGTACAGTATTAAAACAGAAGTAGAAATTTTAAAAAACACAATCATATTAATTGCATTAATACATATAAATGAAAAATCTGTATTCATCCAACAAATAAATTAAGAATATATTAACTTTAAAATATTTTTCCACTTTATGGCAATCACAATTGGGTGGTGATGAATTCTTCACATGCTTGAACATTTTAGCTAATTTGCTTAAATTTCCACATAGCTCTTCAGGAATTCATTTACTACATGAATATATAACTATATTTAAAAGGTTTGAATTTGGTAGAGCGCTAGCCTTGAGCTGAAGAGCTGAAGGACAGCGCCCAGGCCCAGAGTTCAGGCGCCATGACCGGACCCAAAAAAAAAAAAAAAAGGTTTGAATTGTTGCATTCCTGGGTCAAATTAGACTGAAACTTTAAATTCAGCATCACCCATTTATTTGTGACTCCTTATCCTATTTTCTATCTCTCTACCTACCTACCTACCTACCTACCTATATTTAGTGATTCTAGGGATTGAATATAGGAGCTTATGAATATTAGGCATGAATATTATGAGCCACACCCTGAACCTCCCAGTCTATTTTCTTCATTTGTGAATTGTCTACTAGTTCCCCTAGACTGATATCCCCAGTGTGAAGCAACATAGTAACTAAGTTCCCTGTTAATCTGCATTTGGTTCTGACTTAGAAATTTCTGAAATTTCCATATAAGAACTTTTCTGACTTATGATATTCACTATCAGCCTTCCAAAAAAACCAGAGGAATATCCAAATAAAAAAATCCCTTTTTTGTTGTTCAAAAAGTACATTTTGAGCTGTATGCCAGTGGCTCATGCCTGTAATCCTGGCTACTCAGGAGGCTGAAATCTGAGAAATCAGTGTTTGAAGCCAACCCAGTCAGGAAAGTCCATTAGACTCTTCTCCAATTAACTACCAAAAAGGCTGAAAGTGGAGCTGTGGCTCAAGTGGTAAAGTGCTAGCCTTGAGCAAAAACTCTTGAGGACAGTGCCCAGACCTTGAAGACCAGTTCAATTTTTTCCTTGGTTTTCATTGTTCATGGGGCTTGAACTCAGGGCCTGCTTTTCTGCTCAAGGCTAGCACTCTACCACTTTGAGCCACAGTTCCATTTCTGGTTATGTGGTAGCTAATTGGAGATTAAAGTCTCACCACCTTTCCTACCTGGCTTGGCTCTGAAACATGATCCTTTAGATCTCAGCCTCCTGAGTAGCTAAAATTGCAGGCATGAGCCACCAACGCTCAGTTCAAAACTTCTTAAAGTACACTTTTGAGGGATTCTGTTGTCAACATAATAAAATACAAATTTATTTGACACTCAGAACCCCTTCCTAAGCTGACCTTCTCTACATCCTGTGGTGTTACCTACCACTGTGCACATTCTTAGTCCTTGAGCATCCTTCCTATGGGAAAGGCCATCTCCTCTGCATAGAAGGTCCTCCCTTGCCTATAGAAGTCCTCTTCAGTGCCTGTCTGCAATTGTGTCTGCTCTTTGATGTCAATAGCACCTTATTATTCTTGCTTCTTTATAGTATGACTCACTTTAATGGGCTATAAAATCCTCAATGGCAAGAGCCATTCATCTCAGCATTTCCCTCTGACTGAGTTAAAGGCCCTCCAGTGAACAATGGAGTGGATTCTGCCACTTGTGCAGTATACTTCTTTAGTATCGACCATAGCCACCTGAAAGTTCAGCCATCTGTGACATTTGCTTATGGCTCAGATTCTAATTATATGGAATTATTCTAAAGGGTAGGCTATTAGCTAATGCTTCTTTGAATGGCTGCTGAATAGTATTTTACACATAACAACTCTCACTTGCACTGATAGCAATCCGAAATTAAGACAAAATCAGACTAATCCTACTTCCAAATTATGATAAACACACTTTCATTTCTTCAAAGATAATGCCATTATTTCCTTTGAGAAGGAAAAAGATTCTTAAGTATCAAGTATATTTATATTCTAAATGGTTTGTTTTCAAAAATGCAAAATAATCTTACATTTGTCATCAGTAATATTGTTTTATTGTCACCCTTAATGTGGTTACGTTTTATTCTGTTAAGAGAGCTGGGGATTAGGGTGAACAATAAGAATCTGCTACTATATACCAAGGAAAGATCTAGGATGGAAACTTGACTAAACATATCTACCATCCATCAAACATGATTTCATCCCTTACAATTAACCCAAACACAAAGCATCTGGGACCAAAGAATAGATCATGTAGGTCCTCTCAGATTTACCTGTATTGTCCATTATGTATCCATTTCCCTCCCTCCTCCACACACAAAGGCTTGTCTCAGTTCAGATAGGCGAGTTTCTTTAATAGCACCAGACCCTTGGTACATAAACAGTTCTCACTGCTGATACCAAATGATTAGTGTATCTGGGACTTAATCCATAGTATGGTTTCATAGTATGCAGTCCTATGAAACTATTGACTCCTTGTTCTTATGGCTTGATAGGAAGATTAGGTCAAGTGGAATAGTTCCCGGTGGCCATTCAAGGAGTTTGTCTGACATTTTCTTAGGGAAACCATCTGCTTGGGATGAAGTTGATATTCTCAGGATGAGGCCCATTTTTATAGTTAGATGGTGATGTAAAACATTTTCCCTTTTGTCTTCTAAACAGGATTCCCCCAAACATATACATGCATGCGCCCACACACAGTTTTTTTTTTTAATATTTGCTTAAGTATTGTTAGTGGCTGAAATTGTAAAGAAAAAAAATAAGTAAGACTGACCAGTTCCTCATGGTCTTTGCTTTTGCTGCTGCTGTAGGAATAGGGAAACAATATCTGCTGCGAGTATGAATGCATGCTGATATAAGCTTTAATGTGGTTGATGTTTCTTCTCAAGAAATCAGCCACTGCCTTTACTTCCGGCTCAGATTCAGGATAAAGTCCACAGTAGGTTTCAGAGCATGAGAAACTTGATGCACCTTTCTCTGTGATAGAAAGAACATAAAGTTAGGCCAGGCATCAGTGACTCATGCCTTAATCCTAGCTACTCAGGGGGCTGAGATCAGAAGATTGAGTTTTGAAGCTAGCCTGGACAGGAAAGTCTATGAAACTCTTCAATTAACTGTCAAACAAACAAACAGGAAGTGGAGCTGTGGCTCAAGTAAAAGAGGACTAGCCTCAAGCAAAAAAAAAGTTCAAAGAAGTTCAAAAAAGCTCAGCATCCAGACCCTGAGTTCAAGCCCTAGGATTGGCGCGCGCGTGCGCACACACACACACACACACACACACACACACACACACACACACACACGGGGTTATAAGAGATCATGCACTGAACTGAAATTTGTATCTTCTCTGACAATGTATTCTCTGTCTATAGTGCAGCATTGATTAATGTTTCAAAATGATAGCTCACCCATTTAGATGAATGGCTTGGGGCAGACTTGGTAAAGAACATGTTTTTGAGGTCCAGCAAGTGTTTGTTTCTTTTGAGTGTTTGTTAAATATGTATATACCTACATAGCAGATCTTTTACAATCATCAGTCCTGTCTCCCTTGCTGCCTGGAGGCAGCCCCACTTGCAACCTTGAAAAAGCAATCAAGAGAGTCCCAGAGGTGTCAGCTCTGCTTCTAAACTTCTGGTTATACGAGGGAAAAAATGAATCATATTTCTTTTAATCACTGTAAATTTGGATATACATGCAGTTTAAAATGCTAATGAGTGTAGTTCATAAAAGAAGATCTTCAAAGTAGCAATGGAGGCAGACTTGAGTCCCCAAGAGAGAATCTTCCTAATGGATTATAATGATGAGCAATACTGACTGCCTACTTTGAGCATACTAGCGTGAGTTAGTAAATAAAACAGGATGTTAAAGTTCTTGCCAAAGTAACGTTTACTCATTCACTTGAGAGACTATAATATGCGTCACTTCAGATGGTAGCTTGACTTCTGAAATGTTTCCCTCTGTCCCTAATTCATTAGTGTAGAGCCTACAACTCCCATCTGACCCAAGCCATGTGTGCTTGCATTAAAAAAATTGATGTGTGTGTGTGTGTGTGTGTGTGTGTGTGTGTGTGTTCAGAGAGAAAGAGGATTTAATTATTCAATTTAGTTCTGTTGTATTGGGAGATATAATGTTGGGATGGGGAGAAAAAGCATGAACTAACACCTCTCTCCCTGGAGGCAAACTATTCTCAAATCAGTATTCACTGACTACTTTAACTCCTTCAAACCAAAATGATAGATTGTCACTGTGCTTACTTTTTTATTATTTTTGACAGTTTCATTATTTTACTCTTTTATTTATATTGCTCATGATAGAAAGGAACTTGTTAAGAAGGTGAATGGTGAAGCAAAAAATGGTTTAACACTACAGGAGTAAGTACATGTATAAATTAAAACAGAAGGTTTTCTATCCTGGGTCTTTGATATCCTCATGGTGAATGTTTTATGTATTTGTTAAGACAGTGTGCTGTTATTAGGCATGTCCTTATAGAATTTCTGACTTTTGAAACTAGAAGGGACCTTGGAAAACAGATCCAACTTCCCCATTTTAAAGATGAGGAAAGAGTAAGGAGGAGAGATTAATGCTTTAACCACTCTAGCTAACTTTTGTGACATTGCGTTTACTCCAAGTATTTGTTTTATGCCCAAATTCAGATAGAGTCTCCGTGTAGTTAGAATTCATAGCCTTTGCTCAGCTTCTGAACAAAAAGGCATTATTGGAAATAAAGCAAACAACCTACCACACCAATGTTTGGAAGCAAAATTCCTATTCAAATCTGTTCCAACGCAGGGATTGTTCTTGTGGAAAGACCGGTTCTTTCTCCACATTCGATTCTAAATGAGCAAGACAGGAACAGATGAGCCAGGTGGCCATGTCTGCAGCTCAAAGAAGGATCTAACTTTTAACATCCAAGAGGCCGGGTTGGGTCTCCATCCTCTAGCCCTCCTCTACCCTGTCATCCTGGTACTGTCTGCAACATTCCTTTCCTATAGCCAAGGTTCTACTTGTGTTTCTCAGACTACTTTTGAGCCAACCAAACTGGTAATATTTGATAGATTTGAATCTATACAAATAAAAAACTGCCGCTGGTTCCAGTAGACTATTTATTGACCATCTTCATTGGTCTTTTTAAAAAATTAATTTTACTCACAGGCTCATTTGGAGCTCCTTCAAGAAAAGTCAAACAGCTTTGTGTGGGAACGCAGAACTATAAGGCATGAATTTTTTGGTGTTTTTTTTTCTAATCCATTTTTTGAGATGTATCCTGAAATATTTATATTAATGAATTGGTGCTATGATGTCTGGGTATGGTAGACACTTCGAAATACTATGGGAATGGTAGAAGTGGTTTGGGGGCACAAATGACATAAGAGTGGTCATGACTTGCGCTCTGGTTTAGCTCTTACATATCCCCAAGAAACCCATGTGCCACTGGCTTGGCCACTAATCACAGGTACTACTGGTTGTGGTTGCTGAGGTCTAGCTAAAGGAATCGATGTCATTTTATGCATTCCGTGGAGGGTTATATTGGGACCCCGCCCCCTCCTACTTTCTCACAGGTAGCTTCCCAGCCACGAGATAAGTATCTTTTTATTCCCCCTGGGGCTTGAACTCTGGGCCTGGACTCTGTCCCTCAGCTCTTCAGTTCAAGGCTAGCACTCTACCACTCTACCACTTTAACCACTTCTGGTTTTCTGGTGGTTAATTGGAGATAAGAGTCTCACAGACTTTCCTGCCTGGGATGGCTTTGAACTATGATCCTCAATCCTCAAATCTCAGCCTCCTGAGTAACTAGGATTATAGGCATGAGCCACCAGTGCCCAGCTGAGATGAGCATCTTTGCGACACTATGTGTTCTTACCACAAACCTTTCTTCTTTGTAAGTTTTCACCTCAGGTATTTTGTCACAGTAATGGAAAGCTCACTAATATAATTTGATAATCATTGAGACTGTGTGATATGTACACAGGATGTTACTATTTAATATCTACTTTTATATATGTCTGAAATGTGTCATAATAGATAGTTTTTTTTCAGAAGACCATTTTACCAAGATCCAGGATTATGGATATTGATGCTATACATCTTATATCTTCAATAAGGGCATGTTTTTTTTTCTGGTCTTCACCTACCTTTTTCCATGTGTAATCATAACCATCCACATTAATTACTGGCATTACATAGAAGTCCACATGACTCAGGATATTGGTGTACAGACTTTCTTTTTCATAGAATTGAGTTACCTAGGAGTTAAGCCAAGTATGTTTAATAATATCTCGTTTAAGCCCTTCTAAAATATTCTTTTTTAAAAAACATCTTGTTCCCTTTTTAAGTCATTTGGCATCTCCCAATTTGCAGATAAAAATTTCAGGAAGACCATTGCTTTCTTAAAAGGACTGAAATTAGGGCATTCGGCTGCTAAGCAGTATAAGTGCCTTTCATGTGGTACAGTCTTAATGAAGGCAGAAAATAAAGCCATACATTTCTGAATTGTCCTTTAAAAACAAAATGAATTATTTATTAAAGCTTAAAGGAAACAAGTCTATTTTTAGCTCCTTTTACAGTAATTTGTTTCTATCAAAATTTATATCTACTTAAGCCCCATACTTAATTACATAATATTTCTATTTGTGGCAATATCACTATTTTTTTTTTTTGGTCCTGGGGCTTGAACTCTGGTCTTGGGTGATGACCCTCAGCTCTTCAGCTCAAGGCAAGTGCTCTACCACTTGAGCCACAGCACCACTTTCAGTTTTCTGGTGGTTAATTAGAGATAAGACTCTCACAGACTTTCCTGCCCAGGCTGGCTTTGAACTTTGATCCTCAGATCTCAGCCTCCTGAGTAGCTAGGATTATAGGCATGAGCCACCAGCACCTGGCTACATGACTACCTTTTGATTAATAGATTCATTTCTTTTTTTTTCAAATGAAAAGACATTCTATTTTCATGGATTGGTGGAAATAATATTGTCAAATAGCCTATGCTACCTAAGATTTGAATGTTTTTTGCAACCCCACCAAAATTCAATCATTCTATTTTACAAAAATAGAAAAACTATCTCCTTCTTTCCCTCCCTCCCTCCCTCCTTTCTTTCCTTCCTTCCTTCCTTCCTTCCTTCCTTCCTTCCTTCCTTCCTTCCTTCC